TTCTAATTTCTCAGTTATTATTTAATTGTGTTATTTGCTATTTTTTATATTTATCATAATTATAAAGTATTTATACATATTGTTTTATTAATTAAAATAAAATAAAAATGTGTGTAATGTTTTGCTATACATTTCATATACATTCATATATATATATTAGTGTCCAAATACTTTTTGGGTCTTTTGTATACAGTAAAACTAAACTAATCTGTACAATTAACAATAAAAGTAAACTCTCCAGTAAATTCTCCAGAAGCCCTGACAAGTTTGGAAATAATTTCCGCTTGCATTCCTTGATATTATCAGTGGTGTCTGTCCAGAGAGATTCAACCCAACCCACTCCATAATGATATAAAATAAACGGAAGTCATTACCATTATCTAGAAATGGCTGTATAATGTATTTTGTGTTGCGTCACACAGTGCTGTTTGATGTCTAAAGAGTTTCTATCCAGTTCTATCAACAACAAAAAAAGTTGTTTTTTACAGAGGTGATTTGGTTTTCATTGTTTTGAATTTACACATCTATGCCGTGTGTAAATTAAATACTTTGTATATCTGGAACAAACACACAGTGCTGTGTGTTTGGACCTACTGTATAGGATGGGATAAATCAAGGGAATGTAATGAGAGCACTAGCAAAGTGAAGACGAGGAGGAAAGAGGGAATGGGTGTATTTTTCCCCCTCTGTATCCGAAGACATTAGACAAAGCAAACTGCTCACAACACTGCTGATTGTTGATGGGCTGGTCATTTACTTAGGGGTCTTACTTTGAGGAATTGAAATTAAAAAGATCTTGATGGCAGAATTTGGAAAACAATATTCAAAAAAGAAGATGATCTGAGATTTGATATGCAAGAATATTGATTGTTAATGCATACACTAATACACACACTACCGCTCAAAAGTTTGGGGTCAATAAGATTTTTTACTTTTTTTAAAGAAATTGTTACTTTTATTCAGCAAGGATGTATTAAATTGATCAAAAGTGTTAGTAAAGACTTTTACATAGTTACAAAAATTCTATTTCGGATATATGGTGTTAAAAAAACAACATATCATCATGGTTTCCATTAGTGGTGGAATGGATCACAAAATTCACGCTTCGGATCATTTATGTTTTTTGAGCCACGGATCAGATCATTTTTCGGATCAGCAATTTTTAAATATATGTATTTAAAATATAAAATTTGGGCGGGCTGTAACTTTGCTTTTCATTTATTACTTAACCCTTGAGTTCTGTTCGATTTCTGTGTACACCCCTTATGGAGCGGGTCAAATTGACCCTAATTGGACTCAATACAATTCCTCAAAAATCACACTATGAAAAACAACAAAGATTTAGATACAAACTGTAAACTTTTAATATCAACATTTGTCAAACATTACAAAAACATTATATCTGAAAATATGATTTATGAAAATGTTTTTAAAACATTTTTTAAAACAGTTTTGTTTTGACAAAATTGGAAAATAAACAGTATACTGATTTTTTTTGCATATATTTTTATTTTATTTTTTTACATTTTATGCTTTGAACATCGTAACTGAACAAAAAAAATTCTGTATAATGAAAATTTTTCATTTTCCTAAGTTAACTTTACCTAGTTTCCTAAGACCTATTTTCCTAGTTTCATTATTCACTCACTGGGAAGTGAGAAACCAAACATAACAAAAACATACATCAAATAAATGTTTTTTATTTATTTTTGGCTCTGTGAAGCTACCTTTGAAAATCCTACATAAAAGTTTTGGTTAAAAGCTAGGTATTTTAGATATTTTGAATATTGAAATGAGAGCTTATTTTACTATCTGTGTCTGACAAAGATTTTCATCTGTAATTTGCAAATAATTCTGAACACTGTAATTTTAGCTTTTTCAAGTGTGTTTGGTTAGGGTTAGAGCACTTTTAGATGCACTTGCACGTTAGAACTGGAGTTGAAGTGCCCTGACATACAGAAAATAAATATTTTTATTTTGTGTCTGTACAGTTGCTTTTGAATGGCTGCCTATGAGGGTCAAATTGACCCGCGAACATCACGAACGTAACAGTAATTTTGTTTGTATATGTCAAAACACATCAGCATGTTGAAACTTTGCATGCATGTTCATCATGATAAATGAGAAAAAGTCACAAAATATCAAGAAAACAAAAACAAAGGTTAACCAGTATTTCCAACAACTTGAAAATCGAAACGGGTCAAATTGACCCGCAACATAACACAAGGGTTAATGCTCACTTCATAAAGCTACTACATCAGGGATAGGCAACTTCGGTCCTGGAGGGCCACTTTCCTGCAGAGTTTAGCTCCAACCCTAATTAAACACACCTGAACAAGGCAATCAAGGTTTTCAGGATTACTAGATAGATACAGGCAGGTGAGTTTTTATCAGGGCTGAAGCTAAACTCTGCAGGACACTGGCCCTCCAGGACAGAAGTTGCCTATCCCTAACTACTAGCCTAATTGATAAAGTTCACACATTATTTAAAACAAGTGTCATAAAACAGTCAGTAATCAAATAAAAACAAATACACAAATTACAAGCAGAGATTAATACTAAATAACAAAGTTGCAAAGTCTAACAGTAGTATTCAGGTACAGAAATTAATTATTAAGCCTAAATGTAAAATAACACTATTTGTTCACTGTAGAAAGTAAATATAGGTTCATCTTTGTTACAGCTATATTTTGTTGTTTTATTTATATTAATGACACAGACAACAGTAGGAATATTAGTTGTGTGCTGTCACTTTAAGACCGACTGCACGTAACGAAAAAACTGACAAACATCCGGTTTCTTTCTCAACTGTTCACTTATGACATAATCGTGAGAATAAATACTTGCCGAGACGGGCATTTAGACGGGTATTTTGACATAATTTTGTGTTTATGTGTCTGTTCAAGAGCAAGGAAGCGCAAAAGAGGAATCAATTCGGTGTTTGAGCGCTGTCTGAAACGCGTCTCTCTCTTACTCTCTCTTTATGTGCACGCTTCGGCTGCGTGCGGCTGTGCGTACAGATAACGCGCGAGTCCCGATTTTCGCTGCTTTTGCGTTTAAAATATATAAGTCTGTAAAGTATGTTGTGGTCTGAGCAGGTGATTTTAGGGATAGTGAATGATGATATATATATATATATATATTTAAATATAATATGTAAAAAGGAATGGAATATTTATTTATGAATCTCAAAAAGTGGAAATGCTGCTGTTTTCAAAACTAACAGCAGGTAAAATCGCTGGACATATTTTGTCCAATCTCTCTAGAATCGGTGGCGTCTTCATGTGAAAGAAACATATTGTTTTCAAATGCGTCCTGACTTATTTATGGATATTATAAAAGCCCATATTCCCCTTTGTAGTGTAAGCAGTGCATTTGTGTGGGTTACAGTAAAAGGAGAAGTGTTTCATTCATAATGCATGTCTAGAGTTGGAATTGTGTGAGACGGTAAGCCGGTGCATTCCTGTGATATGACCCGAGAGAGATGAGGGCAGCACACAAGCTCTGTGAATAAGTCAGTTCTCAATGAAACACAAACATAAAGTCACGATGTGTTGGGTTGTCGAAGATGTACAGGAATCAAACTCCAAATGTTATAGGAAAGTTGTATGCCTGAGGTTCGTACTTGCTGACATATTTGTTCTCAGTCAAAACAAAGCTCAATGCCCTGATTTACGTGGGTCATCATGAATCATTGGCCCTTTATGTGCGAGACAGTACTGTCTGATGAAGTCACCAAGGTGCAGACTGACCCACTAATACGGATTTATCCATCCGCACCACGTTACTCGACTCAGATGTGAGCCTGCATTGAGGTGATGACGGTGAATAAGACTTACTGCCACGTCACCGGTCACGTCAGGAAAATACCCAGGCCAGAGCAATTATATTAATGCTCCCTGGGGATTATGGGTCAGCTTGTTGTTGTAAACACAGTTGGGAGGATCTACGGACTAAGGAGATGAAGGTTAAGAGCAGCACACTCAATGGTCTGGGGAAACCCTTTAAATTGCGACTTTGCTGGAAGTGTTTTTTATTGTTTATCATTTGTTAATGTATTAATTTGGGTTTTATTATTTTGCTGTTGTTGCACTACAAAACATTATGTTTTATGTTTATTTGAAAATGAGGGATGACACAATTTTATCCACATCATGAATATAAATCAAAACTGCCTAACGTTACTGAATGAAATGTCGAGCCAGTACGAGCTATATGACTGTGAAGCTTTGGGGGTGTTGATGGACTCAATCTACTCCATCTATGATTTAATCATCTCTCTGAATCCGATCTGGATGCGTTTTTCTCAGCTGTTTGATAAAAATGTTGCTTTTTTTATTTTTATTAAGTGTTGATAAAAAGAAGAATGCATGAAGCTAGAATAAAACATGTTTTTTTATAAAGCATAGGCTCTGTTCTTTCTTTTGAAATAATAGTACTTCAGAAATTCATAAAACAAAATATTCTGGGGGCCATAAAAAATGCTGGTGGGTGCTGGTAACTTTTTTTAAAAAAAAGTAAAACATTTCAAACAAGGAAAATATACTGCCTGCTGGGTACCTTGTATCACTATTACGAGTTACCTAGCAAAAAGATTGGACCATATTTTTGCATAATTTCCATAAACTTTATTTTTGGAATCACTTTCAGAACTTTTTTTTTTTTTTTTTTTTTTATGATTATTAACGATAAAAACATTGACAGCCAATCAGAATCCATTCTGCTTTTAAATCATTTAAAGTGGCAGATGACAAAAATGTAGCGCGCGCTTAGAATAAACAGAACAATATTGTCCGCTGGTGTGGACGCTAATATAGTTATCGTTAGTTATATTTGTATATTATACTTTGTTCTTGGTGTGAAAAGAATGGCTAATAACCAGTTACTTACAGAAAATGGGCAACTCTCTTTGAAAATGACCTGAGTAACATTCTACTCTATGTGGTCCAGTTCTCACAATCGACATCAGCGCTAACTGTCTTGTTGTTTTGTTTCCCCAGCTTTGATGTGGACAATGGCACGTCATCAGGACGTAGTCCGCTGGATCCCATGGCCAGCCCGGGGTCAGGTCTCATTCTCCAGGCCAACTTTGTGCACAGCCAGAGGAGAGAGTCCTTCCTGTACCGCTCGGACAGCGACTATGACCTCTCACCAAAGTCTATGTCCAGAAACTCCTCCATCGCCAGTGACATGTGAGCAAATGTCTTTTTAAATGTTTAGTGGCATGTAGATTTTTTTATTTTATTTTTACGAATGCGCATGATTTATTCTTAAATAGTAAAACAAATGTATAGCCTTAAACTACAGTTCTTAAAACATTTCTATAAATTATCAGTGCTGTTGTAATTAGTATTTATGTTTTTTGTTTTGTTTTTTGTAGACACGGGGATGACATGATTGTTACCCCTTTTGCACAGGTAAATGCTCAAGCTCTTCACAATATTAAATATGTGAAGTATAAAAGGAGATGCAATCAATACAATTATATAACACCACTGAACTAATTTTATGTGTCTTCTCTCAGGTTCTGGCGAGTTTAAGGACTGTCCGGAATAATTTTGCTGCTTTAACAAATGTACAACAGGAAAGAGCCAATAACAAGTATGTTGCTTTCAATTTAAAATATTCAAATGCACACATTTTTATCATAACGCTAAGCATAAACGCAATGGAGGAGGGGCGGGACAATACCAACAGACGATAACAAGAAGCACAACAGCGGAACAAAATCATTGAAAACAAGAGCCAGTGCAATTACTTAACATTTGTATTGACATTTTTATATTCAGAAACAATCTCTCTGGAAAATCAGATACTAGTAACGCTTCCACAGATATTTTGTGTATAGCACATATAGCATCTCAACTGAAAAAAAAAAAATGCTGCCCCGCCGGAAAGCGTTGGCGTTTTCAGCTGGCTAAAAATGCTTTGGTGGACACTAAATCTTTTTTTTCCCCAGTATTGATAGAATTTGTATATGTTGTAAATGTGCAGTCAATCTGTTACTTGCATCATAGACAATGACGCCTTCTTTTCCCCCCTTTTTTCTCAAACAGGAGATCCCCAATGTGTAACCCACCTCCCATCACAAAAACCTCATACACAGGTGTTGTACCTTTGCTTTTTATATTTTGAATATTGTCATGCCATCTTAACAGCAGTGCTATTTCAGTATGATTTATAATAGGCTATTTGTTAACATTTTGAATTAGCTTTTATTTTTACATGTTCAGTTTTTATTATAAGTTTTAGTAATTTTGTTATGTGCTTTTGGCATTTTTATTAGTTTTTTAAATATTTCTATATTGCTTTATTTATTAGTATTTTAGTATTAGTAATTTTAGTACTTCAACTTTAAATTATTTATTTTCGGTTTAACACTGCATAACCGATCTTTATCATTGAGATCACATTGTATCAGATAGATTTGCTTAGTTTTGTGGAGAACTGTTAGACACTGTTTGATATGAGGGATGATGTTGTCCTTGTGTGGCACCTTCCGTTTTGTCTAAACCAGCATGAGGGCAGCCTCCAGACATCCCATATCGCACTGTGCATGTCATGTACTCTGAAGCCGATAAGGAAAAAATATGTCACAATACCCTCTATGCACAAAGGCTTTAAAGATAATTTTATACTCACTTTTAACTGTTTGTTCATGCATATGTCAGCTTTATAGGGGATCCTGGGATGTGACAGTCACTTTGCCATAATCATGAGGCACTGCTCATTATATTGATTAGCTGCTGTTTGTGGTTTATTTATAAGGTTTGCAAAGAAAAGCTTCTTTTGAGATGCAGGTGTTTGACCTAGAACTGTAGTACCGAGCGCTCACTGGATGTTTAGCATGAGCAGAATGTTCAATCGCAGAGATAAAAAGCACCAGTGTTATAGATTGTTAATATTGATTTGTACTAGAAGCAGTGAACAGATGGAGACATTATACAATTTAACTCCCCATGCTGAGTTTAGAATAGATGTCATGTGACCCTGATGGGTGTTGAGTGTAGGATGACTGGATGGATGGCCAATGGCCATAATGTAGATAAGGATGGACGCGCCAGTGGCTAAAGATATGACCTGGTCACCACCAGAAGGTTCACCATTCTGGTGATAGTTAAGCAAGACATGTTGCACCAAGGGAGAATGTCTCTTTAATAAGTGTGTTGTAAATCTCTCTGGATAAAAGAGCCAACTAAATGACTAATTAGTGGGGCTTGCTATGGCATGATTCCTAAAATCATGCAGCTTGTAAAGAAGAGGGGTGATCAGACTTACGCAGACAATAAAACAAGTGATTAATAGAGTTACTTTGAAGCAGGGACCTGAGCACAATCGGAGATATATTTAACACATATCCTGGCTCTTCCAAGCTTTATAATGGTAGTGAATCATAGCTAATAAAGTTTTAAATATGGATATTTTTCTTACAAAAACCTATCGCTTCGCTTTAGAAGGCCTTTATTAACCCCATGGAGTGGTATGGATTATTTATGGATTATTATGATGGATGGATGCATTTTTGGGGGGTTTCAAAATCTTGCCCCCCATTAACTACCATTATAAAGCTTGGACGAGCTAGAATATTTTAAAATATATCTCCGATTGTGTTCGTGGGGGTGAGTAAATCATGGGATAATTAAATTTTTTGGTGAACTATCCCTTTAAGCAATTTTCAACTTTTTTTAAATAAGTTATACATGATTCAACTAATTTTTTTAAAGTCAGTTTAATGTAATTTAAGTTGAAATGATTTAAACATCCAAGTCAATTGTACTTAGTACTTAATTATACAATTGTACTTGGGCCAGTAAGCAACCTGCTTGCAACTCCACCATAGAACAGGGTTTTAAAACTTTTTGATGCCAAGGGCCCAAATACAGTATAATCAAATTGCAGAGGACCTGTTTTCTAAAATATAAAGGCAGCTATACTGTATATTTTAAAACTCCTTTTATTTGTCTAAGAAAAATAAAGTGTCAATATAAAGAGAACATGTTGTTTAAAAATTAAGCAATTGGCATTCATGTTGTAAAGACATTATTGCGGTATTATCTGGAAAATATTATTATTATAAGTATCCATTATTATTCTAAAAGTATTTAAGTAGCAGCTTTAACAATACATATTGGTCCAAAACCCTTTCCCCCCAAATGTTTTTCTTTGAAATTTCCTACAGAACCTATATTATGACCTTGCTTCAAACCTGACACGCTAAAAAACACCCTGAACCCCCTATAAACCGCTTAGCAAAGTACTTAAAACCACTAAGAACACTTAAGAACCCTCATAGCAACATGTTAGGAACACTCTAGAAACTGCAGTTTTGCACTGACAGGTATCAATCACTTTTTTCCAGAAAATCTCAGTTTATAATTTTACTTGCATTCGGTTGCACTCATCTGTTTGCCCTCTGAGTAGCAATTCACACAAACACACACATTCTGCTCACAATGGGGGAATAAAGACTCGATTGAACAAGATTAGAAGAGACTTTCATTGTAGATGTGTCTGTTAACTTTTATGTTTTGTGGTGCATCCAAATAAATCCTCTTGCACAAGCAAATGCTGAGGTTTTGGTGAGGAGTTTCTGGCTGACAAGGCAGTGAGAGCCTGTGACCCAGATTGAAGGATTCCAGTCCTGCTTTTCACCCCAGCTCTCCTGTCTATGGAGCCCGTGCCATCTCATGGGCTGGTGTATGATGTCGCGCTAAGCACGAGAAGAATGTCATTGACGTCAGTGCAGTCTCTTTCAGAGAAAGTGGCACCCCAGCCCTGTGTACTTCACCACACACGCGGAAAGAGAGAGAGAGAGAAAGACACAGACAGACAATGAATAAGATAATGTGTGCTTTGTTGAAGCAATGTGCATGTGGCATTTGTTTTCATAGTAGTGTCAAGTAAGCAACATGTCTAGCATAGCTGCACTGTCTTTTGTTATTTAGTTTCACTTATTTTTATGCCCTCATATGGTCATCCTTAACCTTTTCGAAAAGGCACATGCAACAAACGTTTGCAAATTTCCATAAACTCCATGAACCATAAAAAGCGTCTGATATAAGATATCAGATGTACAAATTTTGCAGGTCATAAATGGTCTCATCTCAGCGAACTTGGGGTGCTGACCACAATTTCAGTAGGAAATGATTTGCTATTTTTATAAACATAAATCACAAAGCATCCTCTTTAAAAGCCAAAGCACAACCAGCCTTTCTCAAAGTGTCAGCTGTGAAGGACCCAAGCTCCTCACCTCGAAATCCCGTAAAGTTCATGCCGGGTTTTAGCTGTAGTCCTCTCTCTCCTGCATGCAGCAGCACTGGCAGGCTTCAGGCTTCTGTTTCAAGAGGAAGCTCGGCTCACGTTCGGCTAGCGACGCTCCACGGCTGCCCCGTGTTCATGCAGGGCATCCACCGCTCTGAGAAAAGAGGGCAGGCAGATGCGATCACCTTTGTTCTTTTGTGCGGCAGCTCAGCTTGAGGACTGGAGACAGGGACTAGTCACTCATCTGTTGGCGTCAACCCTCTGTATGCTTTGTATGCGTGTATGAGCGAGTGTACGTGTGTGTTATTGTTATGACACTATGCCTGTATGCTTTGTTATGGGCCGGATCACATGCTCCTAAGGGCCTTTTTTACTGCCCTACTCAGCTTCTTGGATGCAGACCGGCATCTGTCACGCAGAGATGGGCCTGCCCACAGCAATGATATTCTCTCTGTCCCGAGATGAGAGCTTTCACTCCGGGCTTCTCGAACATGTAGGACTATAGATTCTGCAGTCGAGCGCGTGTTGTCGTTTTGTTTGTGAGCAGTGTGAGAGTGTTGATTTGTGTGTGGCCCCTTTGTATGTTTTCTTAAGGGATATAGTGTTCCCCCGCTTCTCACGAGATCTGACTCCCACTCCTCGTGCCTCGTCGGATTATAGCTCCGCTGTTTTTGGAAACCTTGTTTTTTGGCTCGATTTGGAGCCCCATCATTCACTGTGGAGGGCTTCAGCACAGCATGAAGAATCACCCATGCGTTCTGTCGGGATATCCCAACATGGCGGTCTACAGCAGTTTGGGCCCTCTGCTGGGAGCCTCAACTAGACACCTAAAGCATCTGAGATCTGACTCCTTGCCTCCTTCTCTTCCTCCAGAGGAGGCCTACCAGAAGCTGGCCACAGAGACCCTGGAGGAGCTGGACTGGTGCCTCGACCAGCTCGAGACCCTACAGACCAGGCATTCGGTCAGCGAGATGGCATCCAACAAGGTAAAAAAAACCTCTAGGTGTATTTATCTGCGCTTTTGCTTGTTTAGGATTCCATGGGATGGTTCTGCAATTTGATGAAGTGCAATTATTGATATCTCAGGTGTTCATATTCCACTCACAATCACAATCAGGGCTAGTATTGTCGATTTATAACTCTTTTTATTATTATATATCTTTTTGTGATTTTTATTTTATTTATTTGTGATTTATTTTTTTTAACAGTTTTAGGCTTTGAATATGTTTCACTTGTGCACAATATTATATTGTGCTATAATGCCTCAAGATCAAATTACTATTTTAAGACTGGTTTATGTTATCACAAATGTTTGTTGTGGTTTGTTGAATCCCAGTAGACCTGAACACCAGTAAATAAATATGCATCACATCTGACTGTGTTTGGTACTCCATCATACTGTGTTTGTAGCCTTAGATGTCAGTGTTGTGCATTGGTTCAAACATGAGCAGCAGATGATTAATATTCTAAAATGGCAATCAGATCATGTAATAAACAACTAAAGCATTTAGTTGTTTTGAAGTGAAGTTGATTTCAGATCAGTTGGTGTTTTTTAACCAGTGCACTGTTTGCAATAACAGCAGCAGAATCGTCACTAAGGCTGCACTGAGCATGCCCACAGTCTCCAGTAAGGCCCTAGTACACATACAGCATGCTAATCAGCCTGTAGTGTGTATCTATTCCCGTCCAGTCCATTTGGCCACAGCACCTCTTAAAATAACAAAATACAAGATGCTTCTCATTTTGCTTAAGCAACCAGTCTAAAGGTCCTGCAGAGGTGACCAGACATAAGTAACAGAAGAGTCAAATACTCACATTTTCATATGTCTCACTTCAACGACCCCCCCCCCCCCCCCATTTCCCAGTATCCATGGAAACGCACAAGGCCTGTCAGATTGCTTTGTTGCTTTAGCTCAATAGCAATAGTGGCGTATCCCGTATAAAACTGCCTCACAGTCACCATGCAAGTGTTATATCCTATCCGACTGATATAAATAACACTGTTTTCATGCTGTTTTAGAACAGAATTAGCTACTGCTAATCTGTTATGAAAAAACTTTATGTAGTACCTATATTTTGTGTGTAGGTTGTGTATAGATGTCCAGCTGCCATTGTTTTTGTGATTTATTAGCTGTCAGAATGTTCATATTGGCCCAAGTGCTTGAATACATCTTCCATTTCAATTGCTAAAATCTTTAAATCAATTTCACCATAAGAATTCAATTTAGATGTGTTTTATAACTCTAAAATGTAATTATTATATGTGGGGATTACTCTGTAAAATAGTGTTTCAATCAGAACTACACTTTTGTTTTGATCAAGCAGTGCTCTGGGTAGCAAATTAGGCCAGATACATCATTTATGTATGTATATTTTAAGGCTAAATATGGATTTTCGAGAGATTTTCCAGAGACTCAAACATTAGCATGCATTAACATAACCTTATACTGACAACAAACAATAATTTTAATACTATACCATATATTATACCAATACTATACCATAATTATAACAAAATATTATTTTATAATTGGTATTTTTTATATCTTTAATGTATATTTTATGTTCTTTATATAATATTATATATACACTACCGTTCAAAAGTTTGGGGTCAGTGAGAATTTTATTTTTATTTTTTGGAGGAAAGAAATCAATACTTTTATTTATCAAGGACAGTAAAGACATTTATAATGTTACAAAATATTCTATTTCAAACAAATGCTGTTCTTTTGAACTTCCTATTCATCAAAGAATCCAAAAAAAAAAAAAAAAACTGTACAACTGACAGACCAACAACTGTTTCAACATTGATAATAATAATAAATGTTTCTTGAGCATCAAATCCTCATATTATACTGATTTGTGAAGGATCATTTGACACTGAAGACACTGACACTGGTGATGCTGAAAATTCAGCTTTGATCACAGGAATAAATTACACTTTACTATATATTCACACAGAAAACAGCTGATTTACACTGGAATAATATTTAATACTATAACTGATTTTTGTTGTATTTTTAATCAAATAAGCGCAGCCATGGTTAGCAGAAGAGAATTCTTTTAAAAGTATTTAAAATCGTACCGACCCCAAACTTTTGAACGGTAGTGTATATATATATATATATATATATAATATATTTGTATTAATTGTATGTTTATATTTACATGCTATTATATTAACTATATATTGCTACAACCAAGTCACATAAAAGTCAATCTAATGCTTCAAAAATATCTACAATAATACAGTAAAAAGCATTTTATGTCAACATTTTATGGTTTTATTTGTTAGTTCATATATCATTATTAATAGTCACTCTTTTTGAACCATTAGTCAATAAGTTGTTTAACTTGTTTTCAAGGTAGTGGGCAAGTCATTTTACTGTTCATTTTTTTAATTATTAATTTCAACTGTTCATTTTTATTAATTTCAACTTTCAACTAAGGATTTTGTTATTTGGACCTATTATATAATATTTTATAGATGTCAAAGCCCCCCTGCAAGTTCAGAAGAAATAATGAATGAATGTTGCTTTTGATCTACAAGGCGTATTATTAAACTAGGGGGATGGATCCAGGAACAAAGAATTATGTAGGCCTGTCCCAGAAAACACATTTTCAAGAAATCACAGCTACAAATTGTGTGATATCTTCCCATTTTTAGCTCAGAGACGTGTTTTAACACCCTCTAGATGTTCCAACAATAGAAACACAGTCACCTCTGTCCGTACGGACCCTCGACAGCCTATTACCGTCGGCTCATCTGCTCCAGTAAAGCTGCAAATTACTCGGCATCCCACTAGTGGTACACAGGGACCAGAAGTGTGAAATAATCCCTGACCATGTTCTGTCAGCTCCACTGCCTCAGCTCTGTATTTGCTGCTGTGCTGTACGGTCTTCTGCCACCAGCTCTGTCCAGCTCAGGTTTTGTCTTTAAACAAAACAGGTTTTGTCTTTAAGCAATATATATAATTGCTATGAAATTAATATCATTTTTATATATAATTTATTCATATACAATTAATATATATACTTTATTTACAAATAATAATTATATATATTATTCATTAGAAAATGTATTATTTTATATGTAATATATGTATTAATTAATGTACAAGTGTACGAAATCTGTCATTATTGTGATCATGGCATAGGGCAGGGCAGTAAAAAGTCTGGGCCAGACTTTTTTTCTTCTTCCAGTCAGTAAGAGAATAAAATGGCACATTTCCCAGCACACCTTTTGCTTTATTCAAGGGCTCATTACCAATTTACCAGGACAAATCTATAACGGCGTCATCAGTTTATTTTGTTCTTGTTCATATCCCATATGGTCTCCATTGACTCCCCTCTGTGGATTTATGTGAATGAACTTTACTGAATATTTTATGAGTCTGGTTGACACAATGTTCACTTCCAAACATCACGTCATGACATGAAGATTTCCTCACCAATCCACACATACACGCGCATCTGTCCGCACACACATGCACACATAGTGGAACATGAGGTGAATACGCATTAATACAAACCACACATAATGACTGTGTGCCCTTTTGGGGAGCAATCTGCTGTATCACAGAGCTCACGTACAAAAAACACATCCTCCAACTGAGCTGTAGAAATCTAGAGGGTGAAGTGGGAGGGGTCCCGGGGAGTGGAGCACTCCCAGAGGATTTACATGCCAGCTCAGCTCGGCCAATCGGCTGCAGCGATGAGCTCATTCTAATCCGGAGATGCCTGATTGGGAGGGCTGCGCTCAGAAACACTCTCACCTGAGTGATTGTGTGAAACGCAGCCTTATTTGGAAGCTGTTAACTGGGCATATTTTCCTTCCAAGGCGCAGGCATTTTTCAGTCTATTTAGTTTGAAGAGTGCGCAACGTACGAGAAGAGAGAGAAGCTATCAGACAAAGCCGTTGGTTCTTCACGCCCTCCTCTGTCATAGATGGAATCTTGCCAGGTTTCTTAACAATGGAAAACGCCGTCGTGAGGAATGCCCTGGAATTTCTGGACTTTTCGGATGGGGTTTAGCTTAATATCGCAATGTTAGTTCAGGTGGATTAAAAAGAAATGGAGCTTTGAGACCATCTGGACTGAGCATTTTGTGTTTGTCTTCCCTATCAGCGAGTGTTTTCTAATCTCATCTGCTATCTGGACTTACTCATTCAAAATGCCTGAGGCAAATTATTTGCTGTCAGTTTCTTGGGGGTACATAAAGGTGAGTTAATTAATCATGAAATAGTGTATTCTTATAATGGAATGGGGTTGGACAGGCTGCTATTGTTTATTATTGGTGTTCAGTATGTGGTTGCACAAAGAAAAAAGGCTGCATAAAGAACAGATCATGACAGGCAGATATTTAAATGAATTGATTTGTTAATTAATGGCATTTTTGTGTATGTGTGTGTGTGTGTGTATATATATATATAGGCCTATATATACATTTATAAAGCAGAATTTATCATAATTAGAGTATGTTAAAGACTATTCTTTACCTATTCTTTTGCTTACCCATTTTCACCTAGGCTGTATCACTATTTAAACCCAAACTACTATAAAAAGCACCAGCACAACATGTGTTTTCGCTTGTTTGTTTGCGCACATTAGCAAGTTCATTTTCGAGCATGCAGCAGTTTTTTTTCTTCAGTTTGTTCCTGCAAATCTTGTTAGAAATGTGGCGTCTATCTGGTGTGACCCAGCAGGTCGTTTTGACCTGACATTCTTAACAGTGTGAGAGGATGCATATGTTTTGGGTTGTTTGGAGGACTCAGCCTTGAAATCGTGGCGTATCTGCCGACTGATAGCGACACAGCTGACAAGGGAAAATCCATTAAATGATCATAAAAAAAAGAGGTAAAATAGTGACTTGTTCAGCAATGAATTTCAGAGGGGGTGTTTCAAACAATAGCACAAACATATTACGCAACACCTCCACAGAAGTTATTTTTACTTTGAATGAAATTATTTTTCCCCCTTTTTCCTTTTGCATAAAATAGGTCTAAATGGCAAAAAAAAATAATTTTAATTGTTTATCTCTCAACAGTTCAAGAGGATGTTGAACAGAGAATTGACTCACCTCTCAGAGATGAGCCGATCTGGTAACCAGGTATCTGAGTTCATCTCCAGTACATTCTTAGGTGAGTGTCCCACAAAAAAAAAAAAAAATCAAATATGGATGTTAACATTATGGTTCTTCGCTGAATGTATGTAATATGGGAACATACATTGCACTTTTAAATGCACAATGGAGTTGAGAGGAATAGCGTTTTGACTGGAGGAGGGCAACTATGTGGATTTTTGGGGGTAACTCAGAGAACTAGGACAAATGAAGTGCTGATTATGAGCAAAAAAGCAGGCCAACAGCTGCTCTGTAGCCCGACGGCTGTGTAGCTGAATAATCAGGCCATAAGTAAGACCATTAAATGACCATAGCCCACCATTCATTCACAAAACTACAAATCAGTGGCTGTAATGACACATGCTGTGCTTTTACCCATGAGCACCTCTGATTTCTAGAACCTTCTCTGAGCTCTTTCCGTATTTCTGTAGACAAGCAACATGAGGTGGAAATGCCATCACCCCAGTCCCAAAAAGACAAGGAGAAGAAGAAAAGGCCGATGTCCCAGATTAGCGGCGTAAAAAAACTAACGCACAGTTCCAGCCTTACCAACTCTAACATCCCCCGGTTTGGGGTTAAAACTGAAACAGAAGATGAGCTGGCCAAGGTAAGTACATATGCACTACCATTCTAACATTTGGGGACAGTAAGATTTAAGTGAGTAATTAAGATTAAAATGAATACTTTTATTCAGCAAGTAAACATTAAATTTGTCAAAAGTGCCAGTAAAGACATTTATAATGTTACAAACATATATATATATTTATATTATATTTTTGTATTTCAAATAAATGCTGTTATTTTGTATTTATCAAAGAATCCTGGAAAAAAATGTCTCATGGTTTACACGGAATTACTAAGCAGCACAACTGTTATAAGAAATAAGATAATAATAAGAAAATAATGTTTCTTGAGCACCAAATCAGCACATTAGCATGATTTCTGAAGGATCATGTGACAATGAAGACTGGAGTAATGATGCTGAAAATTCAGCTTTGCCATCACAGGAATAAATGGCATTTTAAAACACATTCAAATAGAAAACAGATATTTAAAATTGTAGTAATATTTTACAATATTATGTTTTTTCTTGTATTTTGATCAAATAAATCCAACATTGGTGAGCATAAGTGACATCTTTCAAAAGCATTAAAAAATCATACCGACCCCAAACTTTTGAACGGTAGTGTGTATAATTAAAAGTCTATAAATAAGAGATTTACAGAAAACTGCAATATAGGACATCTAAATACATGTGTTTCACTTTATGTCATTTCAGGAGCTTGAAGATGTAAATAAATGGGGCCTTAATGTCTTCAAAGTGGGAGAATTTTCTGGGAACAGACCTTTAACGGTTATGATGCACTCAATATTCCAGGTACTTTTCTTTACAGTATTGTCTCACTCAAGCTCAAGTTTGCTTCAGTGTCTTTTTATAAGATGCTCCCGCTAACAAGGACAAACCATGTGGGTTGTCTTTCCAATGTAGGAGAGGGACTTGTTAAAGACGTTTAAAATTCCCCTCGACACGTTTATCACCTATCTGATGACTTTAGAGGACCATTACCATGCTGACGTTGCCTATCACAACAACATCCACGCTGCTGATGTCACACAGTCCACTCACGTCCTGCTATCAACCCCTGCCCTTGAGGTACGATACGGCTGTCCCAGTATGCAGTGCTGCGAGAATGCCATTTCTTCTGATCGTTGAGTATTAAAGAAAGTGGATAATGATTTGAAAATCTGTCTGTGTCTGTTATTTTCAGGCTGTGTTTACAGACCTTGAAATTCTTGCTGCCATATTTGCCAGTGCGATACATGATGTCGACCATCCTGGCGTCTCCAACCAGTTCCTCATTAACACTAGTAAGTCTCTACCTCTCTACCAACATGAAACTATTATAAATGAAAAGTTGCCATACATGGTCTAAGTGAACTGGGCAAAGTCTACTCTACCAATCAAAATATTTGGGATAATTCAGATTTTTTAAAATAAATTTCTTATGCTCATATTGATCAACAGTAAAAACTGTTGATCAAATTGTGAAATATTATTACAGTTTAAAAAAAGTTTACTATTTTAATATAATTTAAAATGTAGTTTATTCTGTGATGGCAAAGCCAATTCAGCCTTTATTGTCACATGAAACATGTCTTATTATTGTCAATAATTGATGAGCATAAGAGACTTATAAAAAAAACAAAAAAAAAACATAATTATTCAAAATGTTTGACCTGCAATGTACATACATCAAAAAAGCAAATCCTTTTCCTGTGGTGTACGTAAAGCAACATCACGTTGCTTCCAAAAGGCTCTTCCGAAGAATTTATGTTTGTGCAATGTTTTTCACAGCTGTCAGAACCACTTTTAGCTTAATCACGTTGTTCAAAGTAGCGGACTCACTCAAAGACGAATCAATACGTGTTTAAGCTGTTCTCACGTGCGGCAAACGGTCAATCGGGCAATTTTCACATGCTATCGGTGCATGTGTTAGGTGGGCTACATGTGTCTGTGATTCACAAAGCTCACGTGTCCCACCCACACAGCCGGTAAAATCCCCTCAATGACTAATAGAGGGGCCAGTGGGGCTTGTCACAACTTGAACACAAGAGGAGGGGGATGCAGGTTGTTCCATACCTTCATGCTGCTGTTTTTAATCCGTGGAATACTAAATGAGACATTTTGATGAACCTTTGCACTGTTCTGAAAGGTCAAGTTCCAAAAAAATAAAACCCCATGAAAGTTTGTGGAAATGTGGAAAGTCCACATAGAAATACAAATAAAAGAGCTGATGAAATATAGTTAGTACAGTATAGAATTAATCGTGCTTCCTCTTTTCTCCTCACTCTCAATCTCTTCTCTCAGACTCTGAGCTGGCCCTCATGTACAATGATTCGTCTGTGTTGGAGAATCATCACCTGGCTGTAGGTTTTAAACTGCTGCAGGAAGAGAACTGTGACATCTTCCAGAACCTGACCAAGAAACAGAGACAGTCACTCCGCAAGATGGTCATTGACATTGTGAGTCATGATGTATCATTGGTCTAGTTAGCTGTCCTTTATCACACTCGACTGTTTTTGCAGCTTAATTTCACTGATAATTGTAATATGGAACTAAACGTTCATTTTACAGATGTGAAAATAAGTGTAAATTCATTTAAGGGCCAATAAATTACCCTTTTTCTCTCTCCAGCCAAAATGGATTCATCCATTCAAACCATTCATCTTTTTTTTTTTTTTTTTGCAGGTTCTGGCCACAGACATGTCTAAGCACATGAATTTGTTGGCGGATCTGAAAACCATGGTGGAGACCAAAAAGGTGACCAGTTCAGGGGTATTACTGCTGGACAACTACTCTGACAGGATACAGGTTCGTCCTGTATGCTCATATTGCATTGTAGATATCACAATAAAGGTTATGATTAAAAAATCTGTGGAAAAGGATTTTATTTAATTCAATTTTATACAAATTTTATTGATTATGTAATTATATAGGAAAATATATCAAATAAATATGTTTATAAAAATATATAATATATATATATACACTCACCGGACACTTTATTAGGTACACCTTGAGTATAGTGAACTCGTGTTCATGTTCAAGAAACCAGTTTGAGATGATTTGAGCTTTGTGACATGTACACTGTGGTCATAAAGGGATGGACATGGTCTGCTATGCTCAAATTGGTACTAAGGGGCCCAAATGTGACAAGAAAATACCCTCCACACCATTACACCACCAGCAGCCTGAACGCTTTCATGTTGTTCATGGCAAATTCTGATTTTCAATCTTCTGTTGTCCAATTTTGGTGAGCCTGTGCAAATTGTAGCCTTAGTTTCCTGTTCTTAGTTGAAAGGAGTGGCACCTGGTCTGTCTTCTGCTGCTGTTTCACTCACAGAACTGCCGCTCACTGGATATTTTCACTTTTTTCGGACCATTCTCTGTAAACCCTAAAGAGAGTTTTTTGTGAAAATCCCAGTAGATCAGCAGTTTTTGAAATACTCAGATCAGCCCGTCTGGCACCAACAACCGTGCCATGGTCAAAGTCACTTAAATCACCTTTCTTCCCCATTCTGATGCTCAGTTTGAACTTCAGCAGATCATCTTGACCACGTCTACATGTCTAAATGCATTGAGTTGCTGCCATGTGATTGGCTGATTAGACATTTGGGTTAACAAGCAGTTGAACAGGTGTACCTATTAAATTGGCCTATGAGTGAGTGTGTCTCTGTGTGTATATATATATATAGTAAGAGAAAATACGGTAATACAATTATATAAAGAATATATAATTGCTACAGCTAAGTTCTACAACTTTTTTATGTGGCTCCATGGGTTGGTTGAGAGTCTGGGTCTATAAAGGTTAACAACCTCTGCTCTAAAGTATTCAACACCCGAATTTGAATATGATAATACATTTATGAATGTGCAAATGAATGTAAATATTAATATGCATGCATAACTGGGTGATTTTGTCTGTATCTCAGGTCTTGCAGAACATGGTGCACTGTGCAGACCTCAGTAACCCCACCAAGCCTCTGCAGTTGTACAAGCAGTGGACGGACCGCATCATGGAAGAGTTCTTCAGCCAGGGGGACAGAGAGCGTGAGCGCGGCATGGAGATCAGCCCCATGTGTGACAAGCACAACGCTTCAGTCGAGAAGTCACAGGTATGGATGAAGGAGGAATCAAATAAAGAAACATTGAATATATATCAAGCTTTATATATATACTATATATTGTGATTTAATAATTCATGCATAAAATGGTTAACATGTTTGATGATGTACACTAGCAATCAAATTTTAAAGTTCCTTCTGTTCACCAAGACTGCATTTTTTAGCAATAATACAGTAAACGTAATACTGTGAAATATTATTACAATATAAAATAACTCTTTTCTATTTGAATATACTTTAAAATGTAGTTTATTCTTGTGATGCAAAGCTTTATTTTCAGCATCATTACTCCATTCTTAAGTGTCACATGATCCTTCAGAAATCATTATAATATACTGATTTGCTGCTCGAGAATCATATCTCATTATTATCAATGTTGAAATATTTGCTTAATATTTTTGTGGAAACTGATCATTTTTTACAGGACTCTTTGATTAATAAACAGTATGAGATAACAGCATTTATTTGAAATAGAAATCTTTTTTAACATTATAAATGTCTTTACTGTCACTTTGATCAATTTAATGCCCTTGCTGAATAAAAGTATTTATCTTTTTCTTTTCTTTTTTTTTATCTATCTGACTTCAAACTTTTGACTGAAAGTGTATATGCCAGCTATTTTATAAATCCTTTCAAATAGCACAATAGATGTAAAAAAAAAAAAAAAAAAAAAAAAACATACGTGTTCTGATAAATATGCAATCAGTCAAAAACTTTCAAAATCTTTTTTTCTAGGTGGGCTTCATCGATTACATCGTGCACCCACTGTGGGAGACGTGGGCCGACCTCGTGCATCCAGACGCCCAGGACATCCTGGACACGCTGGAGGACAACAGGGAATGGTACCAGAGCACCATCCCCCAGAGCCCCTCTCCAGCACTGGACACCTGCAGCGAGGGCAGGCGCGCCGCCGGACAGGAGAAGTTCCAGTTTGAACTGACTCTGGAGGAGGACGGAGAATCCGACACCGAGAAGGACAGCGGCAGCCCTCCTGATGAAGAGGAGGAGGAGGAGGAGGAAGAGGAGGAAAACAGCTGCAGTGACTCTAAAACCCTTTGCACACAGGACTCCGAATGTACAGAGATCCCTCTGGACGAGCAGGTGGGGGACGGACAGGAGGACGAGGAGGACGAACATGAGGAGGAACGGGAATTATCAGAACCCTGTGTTTTAGAGGAGGAGGAGGAGGAGGAGGAGGAGGAGGAGGAAGAAGAGAACACTGCCAACACATAACACAGTATGAAACGGCACCTGAACTTTTTTATATTAGAGATGAGAAACACTTATTTATGGTTAAGATATTAGTTTTTTCATTGTCTATTTTGCATATCAGAAGTGCTTTTTAATGTCCGCCTTTAACATGTTTTTCTTTTTCATTCCTCACTCTTTTTTTCACCATTTTACACTCAGGAATATCTTTTCCACTCCCACCTGTCATTCATACAAACAAATGAAAGGTTATAAAGCTTGTCTTTTATTCACGGTTTCGAGGTACTTTTTTTTTTTTTTTAACTGAAGCAGTATTCTAGAAAACATTGAACTTAGAAAGCAGCTGTTTTTCACCAACAAGATGCTATTTTTTCCTGCAATTCGAGGCATTTTAGCAGACAAATGCTTCGAACTTCACGTCTTCCTGATGCCTTGAATGTGTTATTAATCTGGATTCAGTTGGCTGTTGTTTTTGTGTATCAAGCATTATTTGAAGTGAACGGACATGGTACCAAAGTGAAAGAAAAACATGTAAAAACACCATTTTTACATAATTTAAATCACCATATTTGGGGTAAATATGCAAATGTGGTAAAAATGTTGCACATGTTCTTCTTTTTTCTGACCTTTATTTATTGTTCCCAATCCAGATATGAAAATAATTGATTTAAATGAATACATGAGTTCAAACATATTTCCTCAGTTTGATAATACATGGTTATATTTCAACTCCAAAATTCCCCCAAGAACAAAATCTCATGATTTTGTTATAAAACAATAGCTTGATTAAGCCTTAAATATTTTTGGTGGCAACCAAAAATGTACAAAAACATGCTAATAATGGAGTAAAATGAATTCTGGGTATCACTTCATGCATTAACAATAATATTTCGTATTGTAATTCAATAATAATGATAATAGCGATTATTATTATTATTATTAAATAATAATGCTATTACTAATAATGATGCTTATTATTATTGGCCTGCTCAAAAATATCTGTTTGGTGCCGTATTGGCCAGTTAAACAGAAAACAACTGACGTTAATGATGAAGCTCAATGTTCTGGTTTCTGTTGTCACATGATCACAGGACAATCAGCTTTAGTGCAAAGCCTCATTGTGAGTGTGAATCTAGTTGCACTGTACCTTTTCATGTCATTTTGTTTTTTGTTGATTGTATTTATTTTGGTCATTTTTGACATCGCCAAACATTTCCAGTGGTAATGGTTTTAATTGCTGCTTTACTCATCTCTGTCAAGTGTCCTACTGTATCCTCTTCTTTTTGTTATTGTCATACTAGTATTATTTATTAATGCTCTTTGATGTGCTTCTAGCATATTAAATCATTTTAATCAAACTGTAGCATCAGCAAGGCAGGCTTATCAGTCAGTTCTCCTAAATAAATTGTTTTAATTATACATATATGCAGTAAATATATCTAATCAAATGTTATGTATGATATTGGAGCCTTTTGAAACTAGCCCTTTTTCATTGCTTTATTTAAAACTCATTCTGTTGCCAAGTTAAATGAGTAGTTCATATTTTTTTAATTGTCTCCATTCACTACATTGTTTCTCATTTCTATCTGTTTACATACATGTATTTATTGTGCTGTACAGTACATATTGTCGCTCTTATTATGTTGTAAATGATTATATCATCCCTTTTGGTGATGGTGTTGTATTATGGAACTCTTACTGAGAGAATGTTTGTTATTCTTAGTATGTAATGATCCCATTGATATGTGTCTCTAGAGAGATTGCGTAGAGAAAGGGGAAAGCCAAATTATAGTCTTACTGTGTTTATTTTACATTCTTTCTTTTTAAAAGAAAGTGGTTCTGTGGCCTGAGGGTTGTGCCTTACAGATAGCTCTTTAGTTTTTATCCTCTTGCTGCACTAAAGAAACTACTGGCTGGAAACTGACCTAGATGTGTTTGTTGTGTTCCTCTTGTTTATGTGGCATAAATGCTCCAAGGAAAGAAAGAAAGAATAAAAAAAAATAGACAAGTTGTCAGACCTCACTGGACAGGGTAAAAGCAGGCCAGTGTGGTGGGTTTGGATTTGCGACCAACTGTAAGTCCATCATATTTATAGTCTATGCTGTGCTCGTCTGACTGAAACATTGAAAACCATTTGCGTTTCATGCAATATGAGAGAGAACATCTTTCTGTTGGGGGATAACAGGGCATTTTGATTTCCAGATCCAGAGAGGGGTTGAAGCATCCTTCACAAAAAACCCAAACGCTCAATTTGGGACTCATTTTGACACATATACTGTAGATTCTTAATGACCCTGAATGGATGGGAATCAGTGTGTCCTTCTCGTCTCTTTTTAAATCATGACAGAAATACACAAACAGAATTTGACAAATGATATTTAGGGATAACTTTTTTTTTTTTTTTTTGTTATGTGAATTGAATGAGAAAATTGTCTGGAGGTTTCACAAGACTGTGTAGTTGTTTATTGGATTCCTTGTTTATTGCAGTCTATTGGATAGAACTGTAGAAATAAAATTTACGTACGAAAACTGGTAAAATCCAATAAAAATGTTTTTATATGCACCAAAATAAAAGCATGGGTTGACTCTATGATGATGTCTCTTGTTTCCTCTGAGTTCAGAATCTATTGCTGTGTCTAGCTTTATTTTTTTTCTTGAATTTTTTTTATTTTTTAGGTGGACTGGTTTCCTGATGTGTTTTTTTTTTTTGGACCAGTTTTATTTTTGTATCATTGAAATGCTATTATGGTTTTTTATATATTTTTTATATATATATATATATAAATATATTTTTGTTTGTTTTAATTTTGGTTAAAGTTTTAGTAATTTAGAGTTTTGTCATTTTTATTATTTTAAATGTCAATATAGTTTAATTTTAAGTATTTCTTTTTATTATTTTTTTTTTTTTTTTTTTTTATAAATACCAATTCAATTGCAGCTGTCTGGACAGAACCATGTGAAAGACTGGATCTAGACATCAGAATCATTTCAAGGCCACATTTATTTACTTTCTCATACTTTTAAGCTTCCGCGATCATTATCCGTACACACAGTTGCACACTAACATATCCAACCAACTCATCAGCAGAATGCGAGTACAACATCCTCTCACGCTACACACAAGTTAGACGAGTATATAGAATTTATAAATTTGCAGAAGTTTATAATTCCCCTGAGAGACATGGGAATGATGTGGAGAATCTAAAGTTCGACTCAATGTAACTGCGGATTACTAATACAAGAGATATTGCGGTATCGAGGATACAGGTACACTAGCAACCCCTGAAATAAGACCTGTATACTGGTATAATGGCATAAAGAAAGGACAAGGTTTGACACTTGTGTTTGGCACAATCTTGCTAGTTTGCTATGTCAGTAACACCAAAAAACTAGGAGTTGAAGCCAGGTCAAAGATTTGGGGGTTCAGTAACTTATTCTCTGTCTCAGAATACAGAAGCTTGGCAATAGCGCTCGAGCCACAAGCGAACGGCCTGGACGGGGAACACTAGCAGCTACAGTCAGATTGTTGCGGTGGCGTCGTGTCGTCAGTTAGTCTGGTTGTGGGCGTTCCCGTGGAAACGGCTGGGTCGGCCTCAAGAGTGTCTGACATCTTGTCGCAAATGATGTCCACCAAACGCTCAAATGTCTGCGTGATGTTGACGTTGTCCTTTGCGCTTGTCTCAAAAAACTCAAATCCTTTTGGGAAAGAGAGAGGTAAGCAAATGAAATATACAAGTATAAATGTTTTGGGGTTGATAAGATTTTAGAAGATTATAAGAATGCTTATTATAAATAGTTGGCTGCATTTATTTAATCAAAAATTATTATGCATTATTATTACAAATTAAATTACTGTATTCTATTTGAATATATTTTAAAATATTAGTAATTTATAAAAAAAAAAAAAAAAGTAATTATTTAAAAGTAATTTGTTCCAGTGATGCATAGCTGAGTTTTCAGCATCATAAGTGTCACATGATCCTTCAGAAATCATTCTAATATGCTGATTTGGTGCTCAAGAAACATTTATTATTAATATCAATGTTTAAAAAAAACGATTATTCTACTATTTTTGTGGAAAGTGTGATGGTTTTTTTGAGGATTCTTTGATGAATACAAAGTTCAAAAGAACAACATTTATTTAGAATATAAATCTTTTGTGAGATTATAAATGTCTTTACTGTCACTCTTTTGATCACTTAAATGTGACCTTGCTGAATAAAAGTATTAACTTCTTTTAAAAAATAAAATCTAGTGTGATATATATATATAAAATATTTATATTTAATATATTTATTTAATGACCCTACAAGTTCAATTAAAATATCAAAATACGAGGAAAATATTTGATATTTTTTAAATATTTAAAATATGAGGGTAAAAAAAGAGCAAAGAAAAAAACATGCATTGACTACAACTTAATCAGTAATTAATATTTTGTTGGTTCTCATTTTTGCTAGTGATCATAATTTCTCTATATGACAGCCTGGCCAAAATTTACGTCCATGCAATTTGGCATGTTTCAGTGCATTATCACAAATAAAACAATTGTCTCCAAGCACGACAACGCAATACGCTTACAAAATCTTTAAGATCGAGGTGAAAATGTGACTTTTCCAAGGCCAGACATCACTTACTGTATACTCACCCAGCTGTTCGGCTAGCAGTCTCCCACTGTCCACAGACACGATCCTTTCCTCATCCATGTCGCATTTGTTTCCTGCGAGGATCACCTGGGCATTGTCCCAAGAGTACGTTTTAATCTGGGTCGCCCTGACACGAGATGAGACAAAAGCGAGCAGACATGCTCGTCGTCAGTGCGAATGCCCTGGAACATCCTCCAGGACAAGATGTGCCAGACTCAGTCAAACCAAAACTCTGTCAGTTTTATTGTATGAGAATGTCATCATGCCACAGAAAATCAATGGGAACTTCATGTAAAACAGACTTGTTTATATTCTGTCCATCTCTCTTCCTTTTTCTCATCTCTTTAGCAGCATGTTTTTTGTTTTCTCTAATCCAGAGATGTAATGACACTTCATTAACACTACAAAATCACTCAAAGTATTGTATTTCTCAGGTCATCATGACCTAAATTTACAAAAAGAAGCCATGTCCCTTTAGGGCCTCCATAGTCTCACAATAATATTGTATGGCTTCAGACGTCTTGAAGGTAACACATTACAATAAGGTTTCTAAAATTAAATTAGAAACTAAATTAGTTATCATGAACTAA